CATCGGTGCACCGACATGTTCGGATATTTATTTTTGCGCCACATTCGTACATTGAAAGAAAAAAGTATGTTAACAATTGAATTAACAGTTTTTGCGGTTAAATACATTTAATATTTTCTTGGATGTAAATTAACCCGGACAACATTCGTGATATTCATACGAACATGTCGTGATTTTCACAAATTTTATTCATACTGATATCATATGGAAGTCACCGCGTGATAAATGAAAATCATACGAACGTCACGTCATGATTTTCACAAATTTTAATCATACGGAAATCATCCGGATGTCACTGCGTGAGAAATGAAAATCATGTCGTGATTTTTTATGCCAACGGTGTTTGGATAATCATTTTTGCGCCATGTTCGTACACTAAGAGAAAAATTATGTTGAATCAACAGTTTTTGTGGTTAAATACATTCAATATTGAATGTTAAACTGTTGATTCAATTTTTAACATACTTTTTCTTTCAATGTACGAATGTTTTGCAAAAATGAATATTCAAACACCGATGGCATAAAAAATCATGTCGTGATTTTTTATGACCAAACACCGATGGCATAAAAAATCATGTCGTGATTTTTTATGCCATCGGTGTTTGGATATTTATTTTTGCGCCACATTCGTACGTTGAGAGAAAAAGTATACCTACATATATATTAAATCAACAGTTTTTGTGGTTAAATACATTCAATATTTTCTTGAATTTAAATGAACTATATATAGTTAATTTAAATCCAAGAAAATATGAAATGTATTTAACCGCAAAAACTGTTGATTCAACATAATTTTTCTCTTAGTGTACGAACGTGGCGCAAAAATGATTATCCAAACACCGTTGGCATAAAAAATCACGACATGATTTTTTAGGCCATCGGTCAATCGCAAACAGCGATGGCATAAAAAATCACGACATGATTTTCATTTCTCACGCAGTGACATCCGTATGATGTCCGTATGAATAAAATTTGTGAAAATCACGACGTGACGTTCGTATGATTTTCATTTATCACGCGGTGACTTCCGTATGATATCAGTGTGAATAAAATTTGTGAAAATCACGACATGATGTTCGTATGAATATCACGAATGTATGAGCCCTGCGTTCAAAACATTGTAATATCTTTTTTAATTGAACCCGGACAACATTCTTGATATTCAAACAACGTTTTATAAATTATAACGGTGTAATGTGAATAACAAACTAGGTTTTAAATTCGCAGTTTGCAGGGCTCATACGCATGCACAAATTTTGCAAATATCACACCGTGAGTTCTACATGATATCACTGTGATAAAGCATGTGTATGCACTCAGGATATCACAGCGTGATAAAAAAAATCAAGTTGTGATATCATCATGCCTTCACCAGGAAATCCCGATTGTTGTCCTGGAACTATTAATTTAAATCCAAAAAAATATTGAATGTATTTGACCACAAAAACTGTTGATTCAATATACATATATGGCGCAAAAATAAATATCCAAACACCGATGGCATAAAAAAACACGACATGATTTTTTATGCCATCGCGATGCATCGGTGTTTGGATATTCATTTTTGCGACACATTCGTTCATTGAAAGAAAAAGTATGTTAACAATTGAATAAACAGTTTAACATTCAATATTTTCTTGGATTTAAATTAATTATATATAGTTAATTTAAATCCAAGAAAATATTAAATGTATTTAACCGCAAAAACTGTTGATTCAACATAATTTTTCTCTTAGTGTACGAACTTGGCGCAAAAATGATTATCCAAACACCGTTGGCATAAAAAATCACGACATGATTTTTTGTGCCATCGGTCAATCGCAAACAGCGATGGCATAAAAAATCACGACATGATTTTCATTTCTCACGCAGTGACATCCAGATGATGTCCGTATGAACAAAATTTGTGAAAATCACGACGTTTGTATGATTTTCATTTATTACGCGGTGACTTTCGTATGATATCAGTATAAATAAAATTTGTGAAAATAATGACGTGATGTTCGTATGAATATCACGAATGTTGTCCGGGTAGGTTTTAAATTCGCAGTTCGCAGGGCTCATACGCATGCGCAAATTTTGCAAATATGACAGCGTGAGTTCTACATGATATCACTGAAGCATGTGTATGCACTCAGGATATCACAGCGTGATAAAAAAAATCAGGTTGTGATATCATCATGACTTCACCAGGAAATCCCGATTGTTGTCCGGGCTGTAAACCTGTTTTTCCGGCATGGCAGTTAGTTGTGAAATTTTTCTGTAAAAATCGAAATTTATCTCTTAAAATGGACTAACTACCAATAAAATCCGACGTATAAGCAGTTTTTTTTACAGTGAAAGTGAAGAGTATGTGTTATCGTTATCGTCAAATACAAGTATACCGCGAAATCAAAAGATCATGATATATATGATACATAATAAAAAAATTTTTTTTATTTTTTTATTAATTAATTACTGAGGTTTTTTTTTTAATTTTTAATGGAAACTCAATTATATAAAAAATAAAGGAGAATAAATATTATTATAAATATTTTATATCTCAATATTATCCCGAAACTAAAAATAAATTTATTGTCTGCTTTTTTTAAAATTTTAAATCGATCTTTGAGTAGCCTTCTATCTACGTATGCGCAATCGCTTTTAAAACAACGGAGATGCGTCCTTGTCTGATCATGAGCTAACTTTCCCGTTTTTTATCTTTAACAGTTGGCAAGCCCTATTTGCGGACACTTTATTTTAGGCAACCGTCTACCATAGTGTAGGTTTCCAATATGACAGCTGTCAAAATGACAGGTGCCAAAATAACGGTGTTAAAATGACGAAGCTCAAAATGACAACTGTTAAAATTACAGGTGCCAATATAATGGCTGTAAAAATGTCTGATTCCCGAATGACAGATACCAAAATAACAGCTGTCAAAATGACAGGTGCTTAAATTACAGCTGTCAAAATGATCGGTGCGAAAATGACAGGTTCCGAGTTATACAGCCCAGCAAACACAACCGTAAAGGTTCTATAATGGCCCTTTATAGAAGTAATTTTAAGGTCATTTGAAAGTCAAAGTGCGAAGAAATGGATACAAATATTGGAAAAAAATCAGGTTCCTATTGGTTTTTCGGGGTCGCCGAAATTAAATAAGGTTAAAACCTTTTTTTAAGATCATTCCATTTCAGGTGGTCACTGCATTTGTGCTCTCATGAAAGTTTAAACTACTTTTTCACACTTTGACCTTGAAATAACCCAGAAATGCCTTTGAAATAACCTCTGGGCGACCTTTCCAGGTCAATTAAATGCCAGGTTTTCAAATACTTTCAAACACTTTTACACACTTTTACCTTGAAATAACCTCTGGATGACCTTGCCGGGTAACAAACGACAGTTTTGGATTCTGCGATCCGAAAAGTTTAACATTTAAAATTTTTTTTTCCAAGCAATTCTTCTTACTTTGACCTTGAACCTGATGTGATAGAGGTTAATTGACCTCGGATACGAAATCAGCGACCCCAAAAACCCCAGGGTGCTCTACTGAGGTCTATTGATACTTCTTATATCAAATGTTGACCTGTGTAATTCACATAGGGATCAAATAGATTTAATAAACATAATAAACAGTAGTAATGGTAAATCCATGAAAAATCAAACGAAAAGTAAGATATTTTTATTTAACGCTTTTTTTAATTTTTAAAATTCGTTCATGGATTGCCAAGTTTTAAAATTTGTGAATTTTTGAATGGATTGTAAAAATTAAAAAAAGGTTGAATAGAGAATCAAAATACCTTTCAAACAAGGTATCACAACCCCCTTATTCTATTTAGTCCTGCCATCTTGGCACTTGTCAATTTGACGACTAAAAGTAGTATACATAATATTCTTGAACCTGGTTTTTTCCTGACCTCGATATCTTTCTTACTTTGTTATTTATAAATTATTTTTTTCAAATAACAAAACTACAGATAATGTAACTATTTTAAAGAAATAGTTTAAGTATCACACATAATATAATAAAAATAATATAATAAAACCAATTTTTTTATAAGAACATTACCCGCGCCTATTACTAATGCAGATCCTTATCGTGGTAAGAATCGTTGGATGAGGCCGATAAAATATAAATCGAGTAGAAAATACAAAGCGATGTTGCCAAATTAGTTGAAGCCATACTATACTAAACTCAACAAATATATACACGTAATGTATACGCAAATCACGACTGCAGCGCCAAAATGTATGAACTAAAATATACAATTTTTGTTATTTAACGACATTAGGACCTCACTATTTTTTTAAGATTACGCCCTTATTTAATAAAAAATAATAGATTTCTATAATTTTTCATGTTCAAAACATCCATTACTATATCATAGATGTCACTTAAGTTAAACATTTTAACCGCAGACAGTAAAAATTGGCAAAAACATTACGGACTCAATATACTGAGTCCGTAAATCAGCTGAGGCCGTAGTGAATGGCGGCTGCATGTTAGAAGAGGTCACATTGTTAGTAGAACAAATATATATATATATATATATATATATATATATATATATATATATATATCCAGATATCCTCCTAGCGTCCATACATTGTCAAATTACTATCTTCCTAGCGTCCACTTCATCCAAGCGTCCGTATACGGACGCTTGGATGTTTTCCTCTATAAAACGATTAGGGGTGACCAAATACTTTGCCACACAAAAATTGAAAGGGACGCTCAGAAATCGTCTATATGTAATAAAATCGCATATCAACGAATATATTAGTTAAGCCTACAAACCGATAGGGGCGGTAAAAGCGTTTAGCGTATACTTAAAGCGTATATTTAAGCTTTATGGAATAGATTTGCAAGCGTCCAGTTTTTAAAATTTTACCTACATGAGAGCGCCCTAAATTTGGCAATCATGTAAATTGCAATTATGATATAAGCAAGTGGAATGAAGATATGATTTATTAGGAGTGCAGTTCCGACATAGAACAACCGTTTCGTCAGTGCCTACGTGATGGCTTTAAATTTAAATCAGGTAAGTGCTATTCATGAAATTTGATTTTTTAATAATTAAAATTATAAGTAAGGTGTATTAAAAAATATTACAAATAATATTTAATAATTTTATAATTTTATTTTAGTACGAAAATTCAATTTTAAACGTAGGTAATTCAATGTGCAATAGGGATTATGCACAAATGAATAGAAATACAACTACAACAAATCAATCGGTGGTGGATGAAAAATGTCTAATTGTAAGTACTTTAATTATCTCATTTGTGTTAAATTCGAACAAAATTGGATAACTGAAAACTGCCCTTAAATTTAATTTAATTAAAAACTGAACAATAAAATTAATGTTTAATATAACACAGTACAACACGATTTCCCTCCCATGAAAAATTTTAGCAGATTTTGAAAATAGAGGTAAAAAAAACGTACCCGTGTCTCACAGTTTCGCAAGATCACGTCATAAAAAAATTTTAAGCCGTTATTCCTATTATTTATGCTTATACAGATTGTACATTTTTTACTCGGTTAATAATATATTTTTTTGTAAATATTGTATGTTTTTACACAATTCAAAAAACAACTATAAAAAAAGTTTATATTTTGATTTTTATTAAATATTTTTTTTTATTTTTTTTTAATGAAACACATTTTTGTATTTATCTTATATTCAATACATGTTGGAATAAAATCTTGGTCGTTTAGTTTGACGATTATACAGCTCGTTCAGACTAAAACCGAATATATCTATATATATATATATATATATATATATATATATATATATATATATATATATATATATATATATATATATATATATATATATGGGGCGTGGCCTCGCCTCCCTCCAACACGCGACACAGTAGCTAAGCAAATAGACTGCATCGCTAATGAGATTTTTTGCATTATTATCTTTTAATTTTTTAAGTCCTTACCTGCTCGACCTTTCGTCATGTCGTTTATCACACAAGCAACTGTGACGCGCCTTGGAGGGAGGCGAGGCCACGCCCCATATATATATATAGATATATTCGGTTCGGCCGTATATTGCTTCAGAATCTCGAACAATTGACCAGCAATATTCACCCAGCAAATGCCTGACGTCTTTTCCCTTGAAGCGTTTTTCAATTGTTAAAATGTCTTGGTGAAAACGTTCGCCATGTTCGTCACTAAAATCGCCCAAATTTGGTGGAAAATAGTCCAAATGAGCATGGAGAAAATGTATTTTCAGTGACATATGTACTTTCATGTCCTGTGCTATAAAATGTACTTTATAACCCGAACTACAGGGAATAAATTCAGATTCCATCTCGGAAAAAATGGTTGTACTGGGTGTTAAAGGTCTTTTACTTTTATCCTCACATATGTTTTCTGAAGGAGCAGTTGGATAATCTTCAGATCGCACTCTTGCAAGAATGACGGATTCTACATCGGCGTAATCAATTTTCTCTCTAGAATTGTACCGAAATCCAAAACTTTTTAATTTTGACATGCAGAAATAACACTGGTCAGATGCGTGTTCGGTAAGTCGCGACGGGTCGAAGCCAAATTGTTGGTGCAACATATTTCATACTGTGTGTTTTATCTTGCAATCCATGCAAACAACGGTAACAATAATCGCATAAAACCTCTGGTACATACCATAAGTTTGGTATATACGTCACCAAAAAATAGTCTTCAAAAGCTGTTACTACACTTTTTGTAATATTTCGCATATGGCTTGGAGGTGCAAATAAACCACATACATAACAAAAATTATTTCGATTCGGACACTGCATTTTTACTTTGATTTCAAATGGATGGTTAACTCAACAATCAAAATTAATATGAAAAATTTATCGATTTATCGCTGCAATAATTTTTTTATTTAACATTTAAAAAAAAGTATTAATGCCGCAGATGTGTAAATTTTTTGTTTTTTTGCTGTTTCAATTGACTTCGTATACTTAAATACTTTTTTTAAAACTTAAATTAAATATGTTTTAGGTACACTTGCTTTAAGACTTAAATCAATTCATTTAAATATCTTTAAATTTTTTTTAAAAATTTTAATTCAACAAAGCTCAATTTTTACAAAAAATTGAATAAACAAAAATTGTAATCACCCGACTTTAAAGCATTTTGATTGGCTTAAAATTGAAACATTTTGTTACCGTTTGATATATAAATAAATGTGCAAAACTCTGTATAAGATTAAAATAATTTTAAAATGCATCTATAATGGTTGCCTATCCATTTAGTAAATATATATATTTTTAACTATGCAGTCCAGCTGTTATCGAGTCTATTAAATTATGTCGCGAATAGTGTGAATAACATTTTATTGGATAGCCCTTAAAAAAAAATTATGACGTGATGTGAAAAAACGCCGAGACACGGGTATCATTTTTTTAACTCTATTTTTAGAATCTGTAGAAATTTTTCATGGGAGGGACCAAAAATCAAATTTTGTCGTACTGTGTAATAATAATAATAATTTTAAAACCAATAAATTTTAAAATAGTTTTCAGATCACCATAAAACCGATTTTTATAATTCTAAAACCTTTTTAAGATAAATTATAATATAAAAAAAACAGTATTTATAAATTAAAAGTTGCCAATTGGATATCCAAGTATTAAATGTCTAACTAAATATATAATAATACATTAAAAATATAAAATCAATGCATTAGTTGCTCAGGGACAAAATTTTAAACGCAAAAAATTTTTTTGATAAAATAATATAAAATACTTTTAAAAAGTGTATAAATATTAATTAATTTTTGTTAATATTTTTTGCCTTCATCCGGTAACTGCACTATGGGTTAAAATATATTTTTTAGGCTTAATAATATTATTAAATACTGAATATTCTTAATATTGTATTAATTTTTACTATTGTTATTATTGTCAATAAGTTAAAATTGGTGAATGCCAAAATGGCACCTGTTAAAATGACAGATACGCCCTTTTTGACTTATTTAGGTGGTTTTAAGCATGGAATTGGTAGTTTCGGGCTAGTTGAAGTTAAAATTGGTGAATGCCAAAATGGCAACTGTCAAAATGACAGATACGCCCTTTTTGACTTATTTAGGTGGTTTTAAGCATGGAATTGGTAGTTTCGGGGTAGTTGAAGTAAAAATTGGTGAATGCCAAAATGGCACCGGTCAAAATGACAGATACGCCCTTTTTGACTTATTTAGGTGGTTTTAAGCATGAAATTGGTAGTTTCGGGCTAGTTGAAGCTAAAATTAGAGAATGCCAAAATGGCACCTGTCAAAATGACAGATGCGCCCTTTTTGACTTATTTAGGTGGTTTTAAGCATGGAATTGGTAGTTTCGGGCTAGTTGAAGTTAAAATTGGTGAATGCCAAAATGGCAACTGTCAAAATGACAGATACGCCCTTTTTGACTTATTTAGGTGGTTTTAAGCATGGAATTGGTAGTTTCGGGGTAGTTGAAGTTAAAATTTATGAATGCCAAAATGACAACTGTCAAAATGACAGATACGCCTTTTTTGACTTATTTAGGTGGTTTTAAGCATGGAATTTGTAGTTTCGGACTAGTTGAAGTTAAAATTGGTGAATGCCAAAATGGCACCTGTCAAAATGACAGATACGCCCTTTATGACTTATTTAGGTGGTTTTAAGCATGTCATTGGTTTGTCGGGGTAGTTGAAACTACCAATTACATGCTTAAAACCACCTAAATAAGTCATAAAGGGCGTATCTGTCATTTTGACAGGTGCCATTTTGGCATTCACCAATTATAACTTTATATACCACGAAACTACCAATTCCATGCTTAAAACCACCTAAATTAGTCAAAAAAGGCGTATCTGTCATTTTGACAGGTGCCATTTTGGCATTCCCTAATTTTAACTTCAACTAGCCCGAAACTACCAATTCCATGCTTAAAACCACCGAAACAAGTCAAACAAGGGCAATTCTATGCTTGGAAACACCGCGGGTTTTGCGTGGAAACACTGTGGGTTTTGCGTGTTTTCACTGTGGGTGTGGAATCACCGTGGTTACACGCCTGTACAAATGGAACAAACGGTGTTTCAACCGTGATTCAAAGACAGCGAGGGTAAGTAACAATAATAATTGTTACAATTATTATTTTAGTGTTTACCTTGCGCAAGTAAATAATTTTGCAAAGCTCACTCGCGCGAGGTTTACTCGCGTTTAGAGTACTAGCTCGAGGCTTAATCTCGCGAGTCTTAGTCGCGCGAGGCTTAATCGCGTAAGTCTTAAACGCACGAGTCTTACCAACGCGAGGCTTATTTGTGCTATTATTACTCGCGCGTTTAGTCGCGCAAGGCTAACCAGCGCCAGGATTACGCGCGCGAGACTTAGACGCGCGAGGATTACTCTCGCGAGTATTGGTCGCGCGAAACTTAGTCGGGCGAGGCTTACTTGCGCGAAGCTTATTTGCGGGATTCTTACTCGCGCGATTTTTAAACGCGACAGTCTTAGGCGCGCGGGCTTATCAGCGAGGGGATTACGCTCTCGAGGATTACTCGGGCGAGTATTTGTCGCGGGGGCTTACCAGCGCGAAGATTATTCGCACGAGTCTTAGTCGCACGAGTCTTAGTCGCGCGAGTCTTAGTCGCGCGAGTCTTAGTCGCGCGAGTCTTAGTCGCGCGAGTCTTAGTCGCGCGAGTCTTACTCGCTAGGCCAATTTGGTGGAGCCTCGCCTGTACGCAAATAAGCTCTGCCCGAGTAAGGTTTCGTGCGAGAAAGACCTTATGCAAGTAAAATCTCGCGGATGAAATTTTTTACGCTTGTAATCAGTTGTTAATTTTTAATAACTACTTCTACTTTTCTACTCCTTCGAGACATTTACCTCATCCTCGTTAATAATGGCCTAAATTACCTGTTGTTTAATGACATAATATTATTTTTTTATTACTAAACGTAAAATTTATAAGCATTTTATTATTTAATTTGTTTTCATAATTTATAATAAAATATTTTATCCCATAGTGCGACACTTTCGGCCATTTATATTTTATATATTTTATATTTTTTATATTTCTGTAACAATTAACTTTACATTTTCTGTAAAAGTGTCCACTTCTTGTTTTACGAAGAGAATTATCCATAAACGTTGTCATTTTACCTATATCTAAAGCTATAGCTATGACGTTCCGCAACACTCATATGGAACTAACTGCTTTTATCAAGTTTTTAAAGGTTTTGTCCAAGTAAAGTTAGTTTTATTGTGTATTTTAATTAGAGTATTATAAAATATAGTTTTATTAAACTCTAACTTAAGTTAAAGGAGTTTTAATCCTACCTTCAACAAAAGTTATCTCAAAGAACACTTTAAGATTAAAAATAAAAGCAATTTTAAAACAAAAGTATATTTATTTTGAACTAATAAAACCACATTGCTTTTAAGAGAATTTTAAGATAATATACTCTTATTGAGGTTTGATTAAAGTACAAATGAAGTCATTTTTAAGAGCAAATGATCTTAAATGCTAGATAGTTTTAAGGAGATGCCTTCAGGATAGCTATAAAACTCCCTTTTAAAACCATATCCTCTCGAAGTGTAATTAGTATTTATAAAAGCCATTTTAAAATAATTTACATTTTTTCCGCTATAATAAAACTGCCTTAAAACTAAGTCGTCAATTTGGATTTTAAAATGTCACTTGGGTAAAACCCGCCCTTACCTTTAATTTATTTAAAACCTGGTTATTAAAAACATACAAATTATTGTTTCGAGTACGGTAATTCAAAACTGCCCAAATTTTAAATAGATGGTGTATGCTCATTAAAAAATATTTCAACAAATTTTACCAATTTCCCAACCCCTTTATGATTGTGAATATTGCGGAAAAGTTTTACTTCTATAGCGGATCTACGATTAAACGATCATATTTTTTTAGAATTACCATACTGAATCGGTAAAAAACGGTCCAGAGTTAATCCAAGATACTATATCAGTAGATATACTAAGCCGATACGGGACCGGAAGTGAGCCAGACAGTTGGATGGGCGTTCCTAAAGGGGGCGTTCCTAAAGGGGGGGCGTTCCTAAAGGGGGGGCGTTCCTAAAGGTGATTGGCCCAAAAAAAGGGGGCTAATCGATGTTTGTGGTTGCAAAACCCCGCCCAGTAGAGTGTGATTGGCTGTAGATAGACCGGTGGTTGGCTGATAGGCCCCCTGCAAATAGCTAATGGGCGGTTGTCGGATGTCGGCCATTTGCAAATAGCGCCCTCTACTGATAAGCGGTAGTAAAAGCAACGAACTAGAGATAATAAGCGCCCTCAACTGATAAGCGTAAGTGAGCCTATTGGTGGGTTGTTGGCGGATGGCGGCTGGCGGATGGCGGCCATGTTTGATAGATATTAGCTATTGGTGTTGTGGTTTAAAGTGGGCGGGGCTTAGGTGTTTAGTTGGCATTACTGGAGATGCAAAAGATAAGCGATATGCATATTGGTTGTTTGTGGTTAGCGTATTAGTTTGGTATTACTGGAGATGCAAAAGATAAGCGATATGCATTTGCTGCGTGACTTAACAGTGGTTTGGCATCCGCTATTTGGAGATAAGGATTTATTATTAATTATATAAATTTTATTTTTAGCTTGATAAAATATTTCCGTTTTTGTGGTAATGTGTTTAATATTGAATTTAATATAATTTTCATTTTTAACGCCATTTTGAATTGCTGACGTCATCCGACTTGTCCTAACAAGTCTATTTTTAATCCCTCCAGAGGCCTTTTTCTCACAATTAGGTGTGTCCGACCTTTTTTATTAAAATTAAATTTTTTTAAATATTTTTGTGTACCGATTGGTACTCGGGAACCATCGGTTTTAAATTTTTTCATATAAAAAGACGTTGTTTTAAATATAAATTTATTATTTTCCCACCAAAACGTGCGACCTAAAAAGTATTATTCAGTCTTAATATTATCGTACAGTAATAATGATTAGTGCAAAGGAAATTGAAAAGGCAATCCAAAATATTGATAAATTTTTGGAAAAATGTGGTAAAGAAGGTGAAGAAAAATTTGAAAATAAATATCCTACTCGACAGGAAATATATCGAGAATTTTTGAAAAAGGAAAAAATTAAAAAATGGGTTAGTCAAAAAGAATTTTTGGAGCAGCATCTTAATGCTAATATTGTAAATAACCAGTATGGTAAACATTTTGAGACGTGCCCCTGGTCAAATTCTGATGAAGGTCCAGATACATGTCCATGTTGTATGGTTTCATTTTATGTGAAAGAAGCTAATGAGATGTTAAATAAGTTACCAAAAATTACGTGCTGTTGTAAAATTAATTGAATAAACTTTAATATATATTCCTTAACAAAACTATTTGAGTTCAGTAGTACCTAAAATGCGTTGCGTTCAACAACCCGAAAAACTACCTATAAATAACTTAGATTTATTTGAAACCAGTTCTGATGCTAGTAAACATGGTAATTTACTACCAAATTCCTTTAGAGCAATTTTTTGTGGTCCTAGTGGGTGTGGTAAAACAAATGCTTTATTAAGTTTAATATTTAATGCTAATGGAGCTAAATTTGAAAATATTTACGTTTATTCAAAATCTCTTTTCCAACCAAAATATCAATTATTACAAAATGTTTTAAGCAAAGTAAAAGGTGTGAGGTATTTTCCATATAAAGATAATGATGAAATAATTGAACCTATGAAAGCTCGAAACAATTCAATTTTCATATTTGATGATGTAGCTTGCGATAAACAAAATAAAATACGCGAATACTATTCAATGGGTAGACATAAAAATATAGACGCTGCATACTTATGTCAAACATATTCAAAAATACCAAAACAATTAATACGTGATAATTGTAATATTATTGTGCTATTTAGACAGGATGATATGAATTTAAAACATGTATTTGATGAACATGTCTCACCTGATATGCCTTATGATCAGTTTAAGAAAATATGCTCAGAATGTTGGAATGAAAATTATGGTTGTTTAGCTATTATAAAAGATTTTCGTTTAAACAATGGACGTTATCGAAAGGGATTTGATAAATATATAAATATGTAGCTAATATTTTTTTGAGTTGAGTAACAGTAATAGACTTATTAATATTTTTTGCTAAGTAACCTTATAATCTTGGTAAAATACTGTCACAAAAACCGATAGAAAAACTGTCACAAAAACTGCTAGAAAAACTGCAAAACTGCTATAAAACCGTTAGAAAAACTGCTAGAAAACAGCAAAACCGATAGAAAAACTGCAAAAACTGCTAGAAAAACTGCAAAACTGTCACAAAAACCGATAGAAAAACTGCAAAACTGTCACAAAAACTGCTAGAAAAACTGCAAAACTGCTATAAAAACTGCTAAAACTGCTATAAAAACTGTAAAACTGTCACAAAAACTACAGGCTGTTATAAAAGACCGTTTAAACAATGGGTGTTATCGTTTGATAAAAATATAAATATGTAAAACAACTATATTTAGTATCATTAGTAATCATGGCACCAACCACTGTCAATGTAACTGAAAAAATTAATGAACTCTCTCGAAATATAAGAAAAAAATATTTAGCTCTTAAATTGGGAAAAGCTGAAAATGATGCTACATTAGATAAAATTTTTAGACCAATCATAAAGCCTCTTGAAAAAATGGCATATGATACGGATTTTGTGAAAAAAGAAGCTGAAGAAGAAGATTTATTACAGCCAGCGATTGTGAAAACATCGGAGAAGTTTTACTTCCATAGCGTGTTGTACGATTACATGTTCATGTTTTTTTAGAACTACCATACTAAATCGGTGGAATGCGATTCTAAATTAATCCAAGATGCTAAATCTCTAAGTACATAGTTGTAAATAATTATCAAAAGTATTTTTGAAATAGTTCTTAAAATTAATATTATCTTGTGTATTTTCTAGGTAGTTTTTGAGGAATCAGAATTTAATTTCGATGATATGGATCCAGACTACGTACCTTCTAGCGCAGAAGTAAGTATGATGGTTTCTAATAACAATTACTCAATAATATTTTATTAAATTTCACCTAAAATGTCTTACGAATTCTAGTTTTTTTTATTGTGTTGATTTATATTAGGTAGATGAAGATACTTAATAATATTATATTAAGTTTCACCTAAATTTTAGGTGGATGAAGATACCTCACCTGAAGGTGAATATTATAATGATGATACTGAAAATGTAAGTAACAAAAGTCAAATACAATTTTATTTTTATTTTATATCACTCCTTAAAATTTATCCTTTTACATATTATCTACATCATCGTGCGTTTCCAAATTTAAATAACCATTAGGGTGCTTTTTTTCACGATTATTTTTATTTTTTCGCTTCCCACTAAAAATCTTAAAATATATTAACAAATATCAATTTTAGCGATTCAACTGAAAAGACCTTTTTTATAGAAAATTATATTTTCTACAAGATTTTCCTTTACATTTTTTCAATAAATCCAGCCACTTTTAAAATATCTTCAAAAATATGAGATTTTTCACTATAATCAGATTTACCCGTACCATCTTACAGGTGGAGATTACAGCATTTTTGTAGAACTTTTGATTACGAGTAAATTCCTTTTTGGAACAATCCAATAGCATAAAATGCGGTTGAGATATAGATATTTAAACAAAAAAAGTTTACGTGTATTTTAAAGGGGAAATCTGTATACGCTTTGGGAGAGTACTTAGAGTTAATATTAAGGGCTTAAATTTTCAGGGAATTTTTTTTTAACATTTATAACAAGATTTTGAGTGGGGAGCGAAAGATTAAAATAGTCGTGAAAAAAAAGCAGCCTAATAACCATGTTTTGTTTTAAATGTGGGAATAATATGGGAAAAAATATATTTAAAATTTTTTAAAAACCTTATTGAAAAAAGTTTGGCCTTGTTATGAAACTTATTTTAAGCTATATTAGTATACCGAGTGATTCTTAGTTACTAAGATAGTTGCATTCTTTAAAACGTTAAATTTGACAAATGTAGTAACTCGGAAAATAATGCGATTTTTATTTAAAAAAATAACCATTTATTTATTTAACCTAATTAAAGTGTTTAAACGTAGGACTTTCTTATCCTAATAATTAAATCCAAGTTTTTATTTTTTGAGGTGCCCAGGAACCAAATTTTCGATATCAAAAGTAAAAAAATAATAGTAGATTTTTTGAATCACCCTAATATAAACTTTTATATCTTTCACATATAAAATAATATTTCAGTATACACAAGGTTTTTCGATGGTTGTTTCTTTTAGATGCAGGCAGATATTAAAAATGATCCACCGCAGACTTTATCTTTGGCCAAAGATACCTCAGAAAACAGATTTGGTATCTTAAAATCAAACGGAGAGATGCGAAGGTGGAGAAAACAAATGGATTATTGTTTTTATTGCGAAAGTTATAATCTTAACTTCGCAAGACATGTTCAACGTAACCATGCGGGTGAAATAGAAGTAAAAAAAATTATGTGTCAACCACCAAAAAGCAAGGAAAGAAGAAACCTATTAGACAAATTAAGAAAAAAGGGAAATTATTTAAATAGCAATGAGGCATGTAAACCTGTGCAACGGCTTCGCGTGGCAAATGAACTATTACCATGTGATAACTGTCTAGGTTTTTTTTCATCAAGATTATTATGGCGACATAGAAACAAATGCACTGGAAAGAAGACCAGGGATCATCAATCGAGTGCCCAAAACATTCTCCTTGCCAATTTAAAGGTTGATGCACAGTTAAGAAAATTTGTATTTCCAAAAATGAGAGGTGACGATATTTCATTAGTAGCAAAATCAGATTCGCTTATTTGTGCATATGGTGCTAGATATATGAAGATTCACCGCGAAAAACATTTTATAAATGTAACATCTCGGAAAATGAGAGAACTTGGCCGACTCCTCATAGAAGTAAGAAAAAGGGAGCCCTCTATCAAGTCCTTATTTGATGCTCTTAAACCAAAGCATTTTGATTTGCTTGTAGCAGCAACAAAATCAGAAGCCAAATATGACATGGAGAAGGATAAATACAAGTCTCCTACGTATGCTCTAAATATGGGAACAACATTAAAACAGTGTGCGGAAATAGCCATTATTTTTGCCCTAAAACGTAAACAGGTGACCGAAACCATAAAATCTGCAGAGGCTGAGGCAGATTTAAAAACTTTAATTCAAGTAATTGAATCTCAATGGAAATATGAAATTTCAAGCCAGGCTACTAACGACTTAAACATAAATAAATGGAACAAAATTACCATAGTTCCCCTTGCTAGTGATATAAAGTTGTTAAAGGATGCTCTAGTTGCAAAAGCAAAACAGGCTGTTGAAGGACTTCATGCAGACGTGAATGTAAAAGATTTTATTAATTTATTAGAAACAATTTACTGCAGACTTATTTTATTAAACAGAAGACGACCTGGAGAACTACAAAGACTTTCTTTAGATTTATATGAACAAGCGGAAATTAATCACAAATACGAGGAATTTGAGGATATAATATCACCTTCAGAAAGAATACTTATACAAAAATTTAAAAGAATAGTGATAAGAGGAAAGAGAGGAAGGGGTGTCCCTGTTCTTTTTAGTCCCGATACTCAGGAACATATTAATATATTGTTAAAATATCGACATAACTTTATAAAAGAACAAAATTCGTATTTATTTGCTAATCCGAAAACGTCACAACCTATATGTGGTTACAAAGTTTTAAACAAATATGCTGTTTCTTGTGGAGCAAAAAATCCAGATGCCATTACCTCAACGAAACTTCGAAAACATTTAGCTACCCTTACCCAAATTTTTAGCATGTCAGATACTGATTTGGAACAATTAGCTAACTTTATGGGCCACACAATAGGTGTGCATAAAAACAACTACAGGCTTCCCGATGACGTTTACCAAACCGCCAAAATATCAAAATTGTTATTATTAATGGAAAGCGGTGGTGCGGCGGAATTTAAAGGAAAACCATTAAATGAGATAGAACTAAATCTAGATGAAGATATAAATGCAGAAAACCCTCTTTCAGCCATCAGCAGCGACAATGAAGTTGTACCTGAAATTTATAATAAAAACCTAGGTAATATTAAAAAAAGAGAGGCAAATAAAACAACAGTTACTGATATCTGTGAAAAAAAGAAAAGACGAATTCTTATGCCTTGGACAGAGGAACAAAAAACAACTGTTACCAATTACTTTTCAACTCACATAAAAAATAAAAAACCACCAAAAAAATACGAATGTGAGCTTTTAAAAAATAAGTATCCTGATTTGCTACAAAATAAAGACTGGCTAAAAATTAAAGTTTATATTCAAAATGAATATTCAAAGAAAAAAAATTGAGTTTTTAATTACATTACGTTAAAAATCTTTTTTAAATCTAGGTATAGGCATGTTTACTTTTTTGTAGAATACAAATTAAGGCGTATACTGGAAAAGGGGCCTTACTAAAAAAAACATTTTATATTTTTATTTTAAAATATTCCTATTATGCGCTTATCGAGTGAACTAGCCTAATAAAGTGTTTTAATATGAAGAGTAGTTATTACTATGTTTATTAAAATACATTTTATTAGGCTAGTTCACTCGATAAGCGCATAATATTTTAATATAAAAATACAAAACGATTTTTTTTCAGACCGCTTTTGCAGTATACGCTTCAATGTAATTTATTTTATATTTTTGTTATTTTTTTGTAAAAATGCATATTTTAATAATACATGTATGTTTGTATGTTTGTAATAAAATATTTTAATTTTTTAATAAATTTTTTTAAGAAATACCTTTTTTTATTTTTAATATTAAATTAAAAAAATATTTTTCTATTGTATTTTTTATTATAAATTTTAAACTATAATGTTTATTATCTTCTTGATATTTTATGAAGATAAAGGTAACCCTATATAAATGCAAATTAAGTTTTAAATACAAAAAAACACGTGCAAATGTTTAAAATGGAAGCTTTTTATTCAAAAACATATATTTAGATTTTTAAACAATTTTTAAAATCAACCTACATTTAACTAAAACTAACATGCGCGACCGCTTGTCCGCGTCCCTGGAAGCTCCTGAGCGATCTTCCATCTTCATGATGCTGGATGATGGTCCTTGCGTCATTCTGCTACGCGTCGCGACGTCCGGGTGCAGTCGGCTACTCGCCTTGCACTGGGTATATTGCAAACCGATACTGCAACTGTCGCAGGTTCTCTTCACAGACGCGTTTTTGTTCTCAGCTTTCATTGGATCCATGGCAACAAGGTCGCCTTGGTGGCTGAACAAACTCTTGGTTGATCTTAACACCATTCCACCATGCCTGCTTGCATCTTCACAGAACATAGCGGATATGCAGGGCAGCATATTGTCGCTATAGCTCGTCTCACCAGGTTCTCTCTTTGGAGATTTCTTGGATTAATTTCCCATCAAGCATAGCGCCGCACACCCTATTTTGGGTGAATCCTTAGTCTGTGGCATAACTTCTACAGCACCTTGATTTTTGCGTACTCCATTAACCCTCTGTTCCAACCCGCTCTGCCATCTCAAGATCTAATTTTGGTACGGACGTCTTAATATTGATCACCAAAGGCGTAATCTTACTAAACCAATGGCTGTTGCTGTCCGGGTTCTTCTGGAATAGGCTCCCTGCTGAAAATGACGGATAATTGCGGATATAAATTCTTCGTCAAAACCGGATAAAAGCAGATGATTGCGGGTATAAATTCTTCGTCAAAGCCGGATAAAAGCAGATAAAAGCGGTTAAAAATATCATCTGATAACATCTGCTTTTGTCCGCATCGCTATATCCGCGAACACCCGGTTGGTTGTGTTTTATGTCCGGTTAGTGCACCCCCGCAATCATCTGCAATCATCTGAATATCTGAATTTGTCCGGAATCATCTGCAAACGTTTGCTTACGTCTGTTTTTATCCGCGATTACCTGCATTTTTTTTTCGTCTATTTTTGTCGGGTTTTACCCGCGAGCATATTCTTTTACCCGCGAACATCTGCAATCACCCGCGAACATCTGCTTTCATCCGCGAACATCTGATTTTATCCGCCAACATCTGCTTTTATCCGCGAACATCTGCTTTTATCCGCGAACATCTGCTTTTATCCGCGAACATCTGCAGTCACCCGCGAACAACTGCTTTTATCCGCGAACATCTGGAAACTCCCGTGAACATCTGCAATCACCCGCAAACATCTACTTTTATCCGCAAACATCTGCTTTTATCCGCGAACATCTGCTTTTATCCGCGAACATCTCATTTTATCCGCAAACATCTTATTTTATCCGCAAACATCTGCTTTTATCCGCAAACATCTGCTTTCATCCCCAAACATTTGCTTTTATCCGCAAACATCTCATTTTATCCGCGAACATCTGCTTTCATAAAGTTTCACTCGTAAACATGCTTTTATCTGCGAACGCCTGATTTCATCCGGTTAGTGCACCCCCGCAAACATCTGCCTTTATCCGCGAACATCTGCTTTTATTCGCGAACATCTGCAATCACCCGCGAACATCTGCTTTCATTCGCGAACATCTCATTTTATCCGCGAACATCTGCTTTTATCCGCAAACATCACATTTTATCCGCGCACATCTGCTTTTATTCGCAAACATCTGCTTTCATCCGCAAACATTTGCTTTTATCCGCAAACATCTCATTTTATCCGCGAACATCTGATTTTATCCGCAAACATCTGCTTTTATCCGCAAACATCTGATTTTATCCACAAACAACTGATTTTATTCGCAAACATCTGATTTTATACGCGAACATCTGCTTTTATCCGCAAACATCTCATTTTATCCGCGAACATCTGATTTTATCCGCAAACATCTGCTTTTATCCGCAAACATCTGATTTTATCCGCAAACATATGCTTTTATCCGCAAACATCTGATTTTATCCGCAAACATCTGCTTTTATCGGCAAACATCTGCTTTTATCCGCAAACATCTGATTTTATACGCAAACATCTGCTTTTATCTGCAAACATCTGCTTTTATCCGCAAACATCTGATTTTATCCGCAAACATCTGATTTTATCCGCAAACATCTGCATTTATCCGCAAATATCTGCTTTTATCCGCGAAAATCTCCAAACATCTGCTTTTAATTGCAAATCTCTGCTTTCATCCGCGTTCGGTTTGCCTGCATTTCCTTTGTCCATTTCGGTCCTGTTTCGTACACAAACGCCTGGTTTCCTTTTTCTCGTTTATACTTTAGTTTAGTTTATCTGCTTTGTCAAATTTTACTGAGCTTTAACTAACTGGTTGTTCACGGCACACAACTTTATAACTCTAAAAGGAATTATTTGAATAAAAACAACCTGTAAAGGAAATAAGTTTATTCAACACGACATTTTCCCAATGGGAAAATAAGTGTTTTTCAAACAAATTCCATACAAATTGAAGATGTTATAATTCCAAATGTATTTGAAATTAAACATATATGTTTTCTAACAATTAATTTAAATGTAAGCTTAATGATTAAAAAATGTCTATTTATGTGTTTTAACAAAGACCTTATTTGTATTTTACCAAATAATATTGAAGTTCAATAAACTTATTTCCTTTACAGGTAGTTTTTATTCAAATAATTCCTTTTAGATTTATAAAGTTGTGTGCCGTGAACGGCTAACAACCAGTTAGTTAAAGCTCAGTAAAATTTGACAAAGCAGGTAAACTAAAGTAACTATACAGGAGAGGAAAACAAAAAGCGCGAATGAAACCAGACGTTTGCGTACGAAACAGGACCGAAATGGACAAAGGAAATGCAGGCAAACCGAACGCGGAAGAAAGCAGAGGTTTGCAGTTAAAAGCAGATGTTTGCAGATGTTCGCGGATAAAAGCAGATATTTGCGGATAAATGCAGATGTTTGCGGATAAAATCAGATGTTCGTGGATAAACGCAGATGTTTGCGGATAAAAGCAGATGTTTGCGTATAAAATCAGATGTTTGCGGATAAAATCAGATGTTTGCGTATAAAATCAGATGTTTGCGAATAAAATCAGTTGTTTGTGGATAAAATCAGATGTTTGCGGATAAAAGCAGATGTTTGCGGATAAAATCAGATGTTCGCGTATAAAATCAGATGTTTGCGGATAAAAGCAGATGTTTGGAGATTAAAACAGATGTTTGCGGATAAAATCAGATGTTTGCGGATAAAAGCAGATATTTCCAGATTAAAATAGATGTTTGCGTATAAAATCAGATGTTTGCGTATAAAATCAGATGTTTGCGGATTAAAACAGATGTTTGTGGATAAAAGCAGATGTTTGCGGATAAAATCAGATGTTTGCGTATAAAACAGATGTTTGCGAATGTTTGCGGATAAAAGCAGATGTTTGCGGATAAAAGCAGATGTTTGCGTATAAAATCAGATGTTTGCGAATGTTTGCGGATAAAAGCAGATGTTTGCGGATAAAAACAGATGTTTGCGGATAAAAGCAGATGTTTTCGGATAACATCAGATGTTTGCGGATAACAGTAGATGTTTTCAGATAAAATCAGATGTTTGCGGATAAAAGGAAATATTTGCAGATTAAAATAGATGTTTGCGGATAAAAGCAGATGTTTGGAGATTAAAACAGATGTTTGCGGATAAAAGCAGATGTTTGCGGATAAAAGCAGATGTTTGCAGGTGAAATCTTATGAATCAGACTTTTGCGACTAAATGAGATGTTTGCGGATTAAAACAGATGTTTGTGGATTAAAATAGATTTTCGCGGATGAAAGTAGATCTTCACGTATAAAAGCAGATGTTTGCAGGTGAAATCGGATAAAGCAGACGTTTGCGGATTAAAGTAGATGTTTGCGGATAAAATCAGATAAAACCGGGTGAATGCAGATATAAACTCAAATACAGGTATTTGCGGATGAAACCAGATAAAAGCAGACATAGATCTAAATAGATAAAACCCGACGTTCGCGGATAATATTTATACCCGCAATTGCAGATAAAAACCGACATGCCGGGTAAAATCAGATATGTCGGATAAAAACAGATATAAATGGACATAAAACTAGCTTGGTTTTTTATCCGCAATCATCCGATATTACCCGTCTTTTTCAGCAGGGATGCCTGTCCTTCGACCAAGTTCTTAGCTTTCTGCTTAATCAACTCATCCAATCCAAATTTTCTTTCGTTGCGTTTTCGAGAACCATAGATATACTCAGAGTATGTCACTGCATGGACCGTATTGGCACGAAATCTTACATGGATAGGAGGTAATGTTAGAGTTCATATGTTATCTTCTTTCCCGTTATAGATGGTAAGTCAGACCCACTCCATTTGTTAAAGTCGGCTTTCGCTAATGTGGTAATGCAATTGGT